TTTTCATTTCTTTCATTCATTTCCTTGTTTGCATTCTTCAACTCCTTGATGGCTTGCCTCATTTCATTTTTTTTTCCTTCTCATCTTCTTTTTGTTTGTTTATCATGATGATTCTGAATTCTCTATCTGGTAGGCTGGGCAGTTCTTCTATTTCTTTGGTGGTTTTTGCTGACTGATCTTTTTTGTGGTAAATTTTGCCCCTGTGGACTTGCTTAAATATTTGTTTGTCTTCTTTTCCCTGTCGTGTATTTTCTAATACTTTCTATTCATTGAGACATGGTGTTGCTATTATTGACTGGCATTTTTTTCTGGCTGTTCTTTCTGGGATGACAGAGGGACTTCCAGATACTTCAGTTGTATTCTGAGCCTTGTTTTGTTTCAATAGCTCCTGTTTTTCTAGCCCCTACTGTGTAGAATTATGTCTGTTGTTTCTTCCAGTAATGCTAAGGGGTCTTTGTGGTATTCTTCTTCTTCTGGTAACTCGTTGAGTCCTTGTCTCTGGAAGGTGCCTGTTGATCTTGATAGTCTTCTTATGTCCTGGGTTCCCTTTATGCTTGGATGTAGCCCCAGAGGGTGGGGTGTAGTAGAAGCGTTGTAGTTGGTCCTGTGGTTGCTCTATTGGCTGGTTTTTTTGAGCGCTGCAAGGCAGTGCCTTAGTGTCTCACACGTCTTCCGGTCACTGCTATTCAGTCCTAATTCTGCACACCTTCCAGTTTTGCAGGCTATCAGTCCTCCCTCTAGGCCTCCAGGGGTCTTTGTGCCCACTCAGAGCCTTCTCTCTCTGAGCAGTCTTTCCCTACCACTTGGGAGAGTGTTAATGGGCCTGTTTTGATTCAGTCTAACCATTCTTCTCCCCTCCCCTTTTATCTCAGGGGTTTGTGAACTTGCTGGTCCCGTCATAGTTATTAATGCCTGGAACAAGCCTCCAGGCCTATGCTGTGGGGGTGGGTGAAAGGGTTTGCAAGCTTGCAGCTGCCCCCATCACCAGGTCACCGGATTTTCTTCCCCACCCACTGGGCTTTATGTGCCCATTTGCGCAGTCTTTTTCCCTGCCTCATTTGTACTCACCAAGATGAATGAGCAGGAAGCCTCTGTCTATGGCACTAGAGCCTGGGTGTTCCCCTGATTCATCAGAGTTGCAGTGTTCTGCTTATCTTGCCTGTGGTGCTTCCAGATAGTGGTTCCCTTATTGGAACTCCCCAATCTCTGATTCTCCCTGTTATCTTCCTTCTAGTGAGTCCAGGTATTCTCATTTGGGTTGATACTTATAGCACGTAAGTCGATAGTCCATTTTTATATATTCATCTCGGTGTCTTTACTCTGCTGCCATCTTGCCCACTCCTGAGCTGTTTGAGCTGTTCTATCAGTGGCTTTCCTCGTGACCAGGTGCTCTGGGTTGGATCTGCAGTCTTTCCTCAGCCTGGGCTCCACTCACCAAGCTGAGACTTCGCCCTTCACCTCCAGGACTTTAGTAAGGGGGTAAAGCACCTTCTGCAGCCTTTCAAACTTCTAGGTGCTTGAGTCCTCCCTGGGTGGGGGAGTTGAGTTCTCTGATCAGAACTTCCCAATCGCTGATTCTCCCTCAGATATCTTATTTCCCTCAGTGAGTCTGGGGGGTTTTCATTTGGATTGAAACTCTTAGTATGTAAGTCTATATTTCATCTTCAGTCCTACATTCCTGCATGAGCCTGGACACAGTGATCTCGGAATCTTTATTCTGCCACTATCTTGCTTTCTCCAGATTTTATTTTTTAAAGAAAAGGAAAAACTATACTGATATTCCCTCTTCAAATTTAATATTTTGGGGCTTTCATTTCTTTTCTGTTTTTTCCTCTTATGCTGTTGATCTTATCATTTCAGTGTTGTTTTCAATAATATTCCATCATTAGTTAATTGCTTCATTTTATAATGTACATAAAGTACTTTCAAAAGTGGCAATATTAGTATTACTACTAAAAATTATGACAATTACATGTTTTAACATTTTCATTTTAGTTACACATTACTTAGAAAGTATTCTGAGAGATGTACAGTGAAATTTTGTGTTTCAGAATCATGTGAGTTTTCCAAAGCACGGTTATTAAACTAGTTAGTAATGTTTGCTTGAATTAATTTTCAGATTTTAGAAATTGTTTCTGTTTTTCTTTTCACTTAACCTTGTTTTGGAATATATAAAATATTTACATGAATTGAAAGTCTCAACTAGTGAGCTAATATTAAAGAATCTTGCATCTGTCTCTCTCCATTCTCCAGTACATCGTCTGCTTCTTCATCTTCCTTTTTCTACTTCACATCTTCTAAGATCATTCTAACTTAGTGGTTCCAACTTTCTCATTAGTTTTTTTTTTTTTT